TAATTTTTCCAAAATTATCTAAAAGAATTGCTATATCTGTAGTAATTTTAAAAGTCAAAGAAAAGTGTGAAGAGTCTCAATTGCGAATACTGTAAGGAGTTGTCAATCAGATCCAGTCAGAAAATATTCAGCCACTAGATTAAAAGTTTAAAAATTTATGTCTGCTGAGCATTTCTTTGAGTTCTGGTTGCAAGCAGTTATTATCTGCCCACAAGAATGATGAAGAACTTGTGCTTTTTATCAAAAATTCACAGATACAACTTTTCTCTCAAATCGGTAATTTCTCTCATTGCTTTACTCCTCTTTTCAGGTGAAAAGGAACAGAGAGAATAAAAGCTATAAAGTTTTTCCTTTGATGAAAAATTGATAACAATTTTTTCTGCAAAACAAATTGAAAACAATGGGAAAAAAAGCTTGGGCTTGCATCCAAGAGAAGATGTCAGCTGGCTACCCAAAATACAAGGGTTTTTTTTTATTTTTATTTTAGGTACACCACCACTTTAATTGGCAGATGCAATTAAGAGAAAGACCTGCTGGGCACAATCTGAACTGTGTTCCAGCTGACAGAAATGGAGATGTTTGCCTCCTGGTTGTGCCTGCAACACACTGTGGAAGCTGCCAGCACAGCCTCTGACCAGCCTGTATCTGTTTAGTGAAGAACAGTGTGCAGAGCTGTGAACTGGACACAATTTATAAGCATTATAAACACAACAAAAATCCAATTCAGGCCAATAAGCTTAGGGACTGAGGGCTAAAAGGACATCAGAGCCTTCCGGGGGTTTTCTCTTGCACTTTCTCTGCTTAGAAAAACTGCATGCTTAAAAAATTTTGTTTTAAATTGCTGTTTCAGATGAGAATGTTTGTAGGAGTTAGGGGAAGAACTTCTCGTGCCACTCACACTGTTGGATTAGCTGCTTTCAGGTGTTTCTTCTAGCATCATAATAACAATGTCATTAAAAACGTTGAGGAAAGGAACAGACAACTCACCTGTTCCTATCAAAGCAGCTAACAGCTCAGGGCACATCTGTAGGTCAGAAATATCTTCTTTGGACTGTTCAAGTTTGATAATCCTCTGTATGTAAGGCCATACCTGCCAAGAACCCTGCAGAATTGCTGTCACCATGGCATTCTTTATGGAAAGCTTTGTGTTACTGCCAGTATGCCACAGACAATGAGAGAATAAGGCACTAACCTTGATTATATAAATCAGCAAACATTGCAGTCATTAACAGGAAGGCAGATGGAAACCTAAGGAAACTTTAGCATCAAATCCTTGAGTATATAGTCACAGCTGTGGCCACAAATAAAAACTGGAAAACATTAACGACAGCGAAGGGGTCTGCAGCTGTATAGCAAGAGACTGCCTGCCCGTGGAACACAAGGGATTCATTACTGCAATTTTCCTGAAACGAGTTATACTGACAGCTTTTTGCAGTGAAGCTGAAAGAAAGTCCTCACATCGATACGCTCTCAGAACACAGCACCAGTTAGAGAGGCCATCACTTCGCTTGAAACAAGATATACGCTGCAGTCTAATTTCCAGGAGAATTAAGGAAATAAAGAAAAAATTAGATGGATTCATCAGTGTTGGCAAACAGATAATGAAAGCTTCCCATTTTATCTCTACCACAGCAAAATAATCTACCAATGAAATTTTGTCATTTCAGCCATTAGCAGCTAAATTCTAGTCAGTGCACCAGTGTCAATGTGCCAAGGCAAGGGTGAGAACACTGAAATCACTTTGAGTGTATGGCCATTGCACTTCCCTTGAGAGTTTTACTGCAGCAGAACATTCATACATGGGGAAGTACTACATGCAAACTCAACAACTCTGAGTAGATACAACCCACAGCAAAGGATTACAACAGATACAGAATTCTTCCAGAGGAACACCGGCACTGTTTATTTTGACTTGCAGCAGACAACATCAAGCAAACAATCTTTGCAAGTCCTTACCAGGTCTGTGGTCTATGACTCTATAATTACCAAATAGTTCATCTTCAATAAGCTGTGCAGAAGCAGCAGGCTGCATGATATGGAAGAAAAATTGCTTTTTGTATGCTACCAGTGATGCTGACGAGAAGAGAAAAACAGATAAAAGGATAGCTCTGACAAGAGATAAAGATGAAAACAAATGAAATAGCAGTAATCAGAACTCATACATACTGAAGAAGAAAACAGAAAAGGTGTATTTGCTGGGAAAAAGAAGCAGTTTGTGAAAGGAGAGATGTCATCCTCAGAAGAGCAGTGGTGACATGGCTCCTTGGGGCACAAAGTATTCACACTCATAGGCTTAAGTGAAGTAGGGAAAAAGTCAGCTTGATCTAATGTAGAGAAGGGATGAAGGCAAACTTCACATGAAAGCGTGAAACAATCTGCAATCTGGTTAAAAAAAATCATGATGGGGAAAGGCAGAAGTTGGGGAAATGTCAAAAATGAGGAAACAGCTATGTATACTGAGAAAGAAAAGGGAAAAATGCTGTTTTTGAAGAACATAAGCCTGGACAAAGAGAAGAGGCAGGCAGTAGTGATATTCTGACACATGTCTCTTCATGTCTTTTCTTGAACAAGGAATGCAAACTAATACAGTCTACTATTAGACAGGCTCATTGTTTTCACCTAGGACACTTTTAGCTCCGCAGAGCTGAGGTGCCAGCCATAGGAACTGCCATCACATCCTCACCAAATTTCTTGGCAAAATGGAAAAGCCAAGTGGGGCAAAGGTGCAAGTGACAGGATGATCACACAGGCAGATTGGTTTGGTCACCAAAAGGCAAAAAAAATATAAAGTCATGCTGTCTGATCTGTATCTGAGCTTATTGCCCACAGTTAGCACATTCACTGGGGGTTTCTACAGTTTTTGCGTGGCAGAAACTGCAGTGGGGAAATATGTAAGCCTATTTGACACCACTCTCCTGCTGAAATGTCCAAAATTGTGGTATAAGCTCAGCCAAAGAGACACTTCCCAGCATCTGTCAATGTGCTGTTTAATCCTCCTGTAGGTTCTATCAGAAAAAATACAAAGGAGTGCAGCAATTATCTAAGAGTTGCTTACAATGATCCAGAAAACTTATCCCTAGAGGTGTTCAGTGCCAGATTGGATGGAGCCCTGGGCAGCCTGGTCTAGTATTAAATGTGGAGGTTGGTGGCCCTGCATGTGGCAGGGAGGTTGGAGCTTCATGATCCTTGAGGTCCATTCCAACCCTGGCCATTCTGTGATACTGTGAAAACATCACACATGGCAGCTTATTGGAACCACTTGCTAGAGAAATGTCAGCCAGAGGGAGCAAGGTAGGCACCTTGGGGTGCCTGCTCTAAGAAGTTACTTAGAAGAGGGAAGAGACTCCAGTTGAAATAAAATCTATTAAATAGAAATGTATGGATAGTTTATACTGTCATAAACACTAAAGAATTTGAGGAAGAGCAGCAGCTGGCAGAGGAGCAGCCAGCCCCAGTTTTAGTGAATGTCCTGAACTCCCTGTAGCCAGGCAGCTCCCTCTTTTCTTGCTTCAGTGTCTGTCAGGTGGCCTTATTTTAAAGCTAAAAGTGACTTTTCAAGGTTTCCAGTACCACAAATGACAGATGAAAAGTACAAGGAACATATATCCCATAAATAAACCATCCCTTCTAAATGAGCTCAAGAAATGGTTGAATTTAGGGAGAGCTGCCTATTCAAAAACTGACAGCAGGAACAGTAGCATTCAGCTCAGTATATGCAGTGCACAATGCAGATGTCTCCTAGGAAATAAAATTTGCATGGGCTTGACTCTGTCCCCAGTTTGCAGTATCTTGGGTGAGGTCAAGTGCACCTTAAGTTATGTGTTTATTTTAGAACAAACTGTGCTTGAGAAATGCCATTTGAGAACACCTATAGAAATGGTAATATAAGGAGTCCAGTTGGTTACATGGAGACTGTGGAAAAGAAATCCATGGAAAGGATAACTTTTTAAGGAAGAAAACCTCAGAAAGGTTTAATGAGTTCAATTTTTTTTTTTTTTCTCCCCACAGAAGAAATATATTACAATCTACAACATGTTTGGGGGAAGGAGAGTAGAAATTAAAAGGACAGTTCTCACAATAAGGACCAAAAGTAACAGCTAATTTAGTACAGGAAGAAATGTTTCCTGTGCTACTGTAAATAATAGTTGAGACACCAAGCAGTCACGGGAGCAGATATACTTATCTGCTGTTGGCAACTTAGTCTTGTCATTTAAAAAAAAAAACAATATAAATGTATCTAGATAAATTCTTTAATCCAGTATCATTAAAAGAAATACGCAGGCTATTATCAAGCCTGTATGTTTAGAAAAGATTACCTAAGCTAGCATACTGCTCTCATCCAGACACAAGTAGTGAGTTGCATTCAAACCTTTTCAGAATTAAAATGAAAATTCAGTCTTCTTGACCAGCCAAGTAGAGTGGGCTAGTTTGCCAACATTATCGGAACCAAGATTAGATTACATATGGGACTATATTATCTGGTCTCCATCATGTGGAGATCAAAGCCAAGACCTCAGATCTGACAGCAAATATATAGGGCCAAAGAATGACAGAAAGGATGGAAAGATGAAAAGAAATCTCAGGTTGTTGCACACTCAGCAGACTAACAAGCTCAGTCAGAAATGTGCCCTCTGAAAACACATTCCTATGGATCAGTCCTGAAAAGATACACCAGGGCTATACAAATAGTCATCTGTTTTGAGCACATCCCAAATGCAGGTGTTGCTGTAGCTCCTCTATTTAAATTTGAATAATACTTTTTTTGCACTTTGAATCTATAGTATATTGGCATCAAAGCATACACACAATTTAAAAGTAGTCATACAAATCATGGGTACTCATTTTCTTTTCTGAAATCAGTACACTGTGGTTGGGAGAAAAAAAAAGCCATGAATTACACACATGCCTGAGATCACTGTTCAGTATCACTGTAAGTACAGATCAATATTTTTCAGCTTTTGTAGTCTGCAAATTCCTTAAAACCCATGGAAGAAGCTTACCCAGTTTTCAAGCTGACCAAGGCATCTTCAACTCCTTTTTGATTATATTTTGTCATGTAGAGGTGCATATCAGGGTAGTTGTTTCTGATATTCCTTTCTGTGCTGCCATTTGGGACAGTTCCAAATCGAAAAGGAGGTGAATAATCATGTGGCCTTTGAAACTACAGAGAAAAAAGGAAAATCAGGATCTTTCAGGCACTCAAAATAGGTACCTCTGGTAACTTTAGCAAGAAATAACTACCAGGGTAATTTCAGGTAGAAAATAAAAATCTTGCATAGGATGTCTCAAATTTATTCTAGGCAAATGCATGGGGTTCACACTCAGCTCTATTATATCAGAAACTGTCTTCACACTGGGTGAACTACACAGAAACATCTACGTGCCAATTAAAAACAGCTCAGATGTGCCACTTTGATAAGACTTTCTTCCGTGCATTGAGATATGGAAGAACCACAGAAACTGGAACAGAGAGATTCTGGAAGATGTTCCCCATCTGCCAATGTGTCCTCAGAGAACCCAAACTCCAGGCAGACACTCTGGTATATAACAGTTGTAGTTGATAGTCATTTCACACCTTCATCTCAGCGGAGACATAGTGGGTTGCCAAGGGAAAAGGATCATTTTCACATCCCAAACAGAGCCTAACACTCTGTTCCAGAGGTGATGCGGTGCGCAGGGAAGGAAAGTGTGAGGGATGACTTCCCTCTTACCCCTGTGATTCAGGGGGAAGAACAGTTCTTGCATCTTCCCCAAGGCTTCAGCAGCTACATCACTTGATAGGCAAAGTGTCTCTGGAGCTTTCACACCTATAATCCTAGATGCAGTTTATTCCTACATACCATTTGCTCAAGGGTAAATAGATGTTATTCTACAGTTTTACCCTCTGTTATCACTATTGCATCAACACAGACAGGCAAGCCAGGGACTACTCAACAGGATTAACAATAGCTCAGGGCACACACAAGTGTAAAATAATCTCACTCCAACACTTGCTACGAGACCTGAAAATTATGTACATATACATCTTTCAATATCTCCCATTAAGCACCACGTGACACTTTAGAATTGTTAAAATGTTTCTCTAAGAAAGAAATTTTGAAATGCCATTCAAATTAGAGGAACTATTGGCTAGTAAGGGAATTCAATTAAGCACTGATAAAAGCAGTCACCCATAAATTCCATGGTAAAATGCACTCTGTTTTTGCTGCAGAAGTTAAAGAGCAATCTACAAATCCTGTGCTGCAAGAGAAGCTAATATTTATACAGCTGCGGCTTCCTTTGGGCTACGTATGTAATGCTCCTCTTTTTGAAGTTTGGTCTCAGGGCGTTAAGAATTTTCAGTATCCAGTGCCAATTTGGAAAGAAAATACAGAGTTATACAAAAAGTGGGAGTATTTTCCATTCCATCAAACCCTGACTGTGAAATTATGGCTGCAACAATATTTTCTTGTTAAAGAACTACAATTAAATGCTTCATTTTAATTAAGCATATTTTGACAAAGCATAAAGAAAGGAACTTTATTTTTCTCTATTCATCTAGCTAACGAATGTCTTACTTTTCTCATTTTCCCATTTCACAGCTATACTGTTTAAATTATTACTTTGCTACTACCTTGCACATACTAATTGACCTATGCACTAAAATTACACTATGTACCAGTCATGGTTCTTAGACTGTATTTGCTTTCTCCTTTTTGTGTTCACTATGTGGCACTGAGGCAAATCCTGCTTTTAAATTTATGTCTAGAGATTCTACTGATACATCTGTAGTCTGCTATTATCTTTATTTAAATGTTCATATAATTAATTAAATCCCTGAAACAGTGAGATGCCTTCCAATAACTCCTAATATCTGATTCAAATTTTCAAATTAATAAAACTGGATGAGAAAAAAAAATATCAAAAATCGACATCAATTTCAAGACCTGTAAAAATTGCTGCTGTTGACACGATTGGTATTTATGGAAATTCAACGGTAGCGAGCATTTTGCAAGCTTGGTTCCTAATCCTGGGGTATAACATGAGGGATTTGGGAACAGGAAGATCATAGTGGAACACCTTGATGATTTACAAATGGAGTTTTGGTTTGAATAGTCCCACTTTTCAAGAACATTCAGGTGGGTTAAAGTTGTTGGCCAGTTTCCTCCCACAGGAATGGTTGCAGTTTTCCATCCCAAACTGAACATTCACATAACAATATTTCTGCAGGAAAGCACAGATTAATAAAAAGTGCTAGTTCATTTTAACATCATAAGGATAACAAGTAATTCAACTGATTAAATAATTTGTATATGGAATTTGCATATAGAAAAGTCAGAAATGAATAGTTCCAAACATCCTCCACTGACTGGAATTTCTTGCCACAAGGCACTTAACCAAAAACATTGAATGGTAACGAGATATTTCTGTGGAAGTGATTGTGTGGCACTGCTGCCTGATTACGTGTAAATGGGAAAACAGAGTTTAAAACATTTTTACTAATGCTGTACTCTTATCTAAGGTGCATAGATTTCTAATCAGTAATTTTAAACATGTATTTAGAGAACTGACGTGTCCTAGGCTCTATGATTCAGCAGAGATCTGCGTGGTGTGGTAGGCATAAAAGAAAGAAAAAAGCACTGAATCTACAGATGTACTCATTTTCCCTAAAACCCCATAGTGGGAATTAAAATGTATCATGTCTGTTAGGAAGCAATTTTCTTCCTAGACATTTTCTGAAATGTTAATTTTTTTCTTTTTAAAGTTGGTAATAAAATCCTTAAATTTAATGCACAAGCCCCCTGCTTGAATCATAACAGCAGAGGTATCAACTATTATTCAGAAGACAAAACAATTCATTCTCCGTGCTCTGCTTGCTGCTCGATCTGTAGCACATGGTAACCAAACCCCAATCCTACTGCTCTGGGAACCTCCAAAAGGATGCCCAAGCTTAGGAAAAACAGTGCTTTTAGTTTGTTTTTCCTATATGCCTACGGAAAACTGACAATTTCATTAGGCAGTAAAGTGATCTTTCACAAATGTTTAATATGGACTTAATTTGATGATATGCACGTCTGTCTGAAAACGTTGCTATTTGGAGCAGTTGTTAGCTTTGTTTTTTTCAGGACTATTTTAAGGAACAGCAGAAAACTTATTAAAATAGTAGAAAATAGTAAATATTCTCCCTCTGCTAACAGGGATTTTAGTGGAAGTCATAGATGGAGATAGGAAAAAAATAACCCACATTTGAATTCTGATTTATTCTAACAATTTGCTTTCTGGTCTTTGAAAAATGTAGCTGCTATGTTTAGTAACTCCAAATTATTATAATCACCATTCAATATCTACCTCCAACAAGTCTCAAAAGGCACTGAAGGGTATAACATCAAAGAGGAGAGATGGGCTGGGGTAAAATGGTTGCCCTACTATTTCATCAGCCATACTGCCTTTTGATCTCACCCTGCTCTGTTATGACACAAGGATCTCTCTAAGTAACTAGAGAGCTTGTGCTGTCTTACCTCGCAAAAAAAGTAAAGGTAATATTCCAAGAACATTGTGAATCCTAAAAATTAAGGAATCTGTAAATGGCATCATGAAGGCTCCTTATTAAGGTGGAAGAGAATCCCCATGACCACATGCATATGGGGCATTTTGGAGGAACCACAGCAGATAAAGGCTTTGCAAGACAATTCTGTCCAATGCTTCCTACTTTCTCTTAATGATTTTATCTCTCTTCAGATGAAAAGGTATAAATGGCCTCAAAAGTAGCAAGTGCTATGAGAGCCAAGCTTCAATGGATACTTTTGGACTCGTTTTCTATACCTTTTTATGAACACAAAGCTTTTAGAAATCTTTTACATATACAAAAATGTCAAAACATAATTTTCCTCTCATCTTCTAAATCATTTGAGTTTATGAACACCCACTCCCAGTAACTCCAGTACATGCTGTGCCATGTATTTCTGGGTGACACGCAGATGACACAGCACTCAGAAGTTTATTAGCGACATTATGAAGGATGACAGTTTAATCAAGAGGTCTTAAAGCCAAGAAAGGTAAGCAGCATGTTGCTGTGTTCAGCAAAACCAGGGGTTGGATGCTGGTGTAAACGCATTCCTGGGGTGGAAGTTACTTAATGCTGACTGTCGGAGTGACTGCTCAGAGATACTTATTCTCCTGACTTCTCTATTATCTGTCAGTTATGAAGTATTGAGAAACTCCTGAAGCTCTGATTGGGAATGATTTATTGCTTGACAGCACTGACAAAGGAGCATGACTTTTCAGTTATGGAAGTAAGAAAAAGAGGAAAGTGGAAGAATAACGAAACCAATTTCCCAACCACTCACAAGTTAATGAAGGCGAATTCAAATAACACAGATAGGAAAGGAATCTTTAGGTTTAAGGATTAAAATTATGCTCAGCCAGTACAATTACTCAGGTCTCTGGCTATTTTTCTATATTGAAATTTGCCAACTTAACCAGAATTTGGTGAACTTCTAGATGTTACTAATTAATTTTACTCATATGCAATCCTGTCTCTTCACACCAGCGTTTGCCTGGGACAGCTCGGTTTGCAGCAAGGGTCAGAGTTTTCCTGAACTGTTCCACTGCTAATGATATTACAAAAACAATGCAAAGACAAGAGTAAAATATTATATATTTTCAGTTATGGAAGTAAGTATATTATATACCCATTAATTACTCCTAATTATTCAAATTTTGAAAATTTGACAAAGCTCAAGCTTGTAGAGAAGCAAAACTTGTGCGTGAGAAGAACATTTTAAATAGGTTTTTTCTTTAGTGGGTTTCTCGCTTGTTTAACTAATTTAATCAGAAAAGGTAAAGCACCCCCTGATATATCTCTGTATGTTTCAGGCAGGATTTGAAGAACTGTAAAATAAAATTTAATCTTAAATAACAAATAAATAATCTGCACATGAGTCGATGTTATTTTCTGATTCAAGTGTTTTTTCTTTGCTTTTTCTTTTTTTTTTTTTTGGTAGAAATAAGATCTCATTTAGTAGAGAGAACAGAAAAAATGACACCAATAAAGATTATTTAACATCTAAAAATAAATTGTTAGTCAATGGCTACAGAACAAATACAGAGACTTTCCCAGCCCACAGGTAAGAGGGCGCTCAGCACAAGTTGGGGCAGAGGGAAGACAGCAGTGTGTTGGTAGACCTGAACACCAGCATGGTGCCAGGTGGAAGCTAAATCCTGCCCAAATAGAACTTCCCAGGAAAACACTATTTCATCAGAAACAGGACAAAGGATGTTTTAAATCTGTGTTTTTAATCTGCGAGAGGAGAAAATCTTTTAGCTATCGCTTGCTAAATATATTATCTTTAAATAGAGGTGCTTCTATTCATACTCTTTCAAGGGTTCTGCTTGTTTTTCCACAGTTGTTTTTTCTGTTGTTTCCTTTTATCCGTTTTCTCCCTAGCCATGCTTGCAAGTCCCACTTTGATAATTCAGATCACTCAAAGGCCAGTCATTGAGAACCATTAAATCAGTAAACAGGTGTGAGTCATCTGAACTGTTTCTTTTTAATAACAATTTCTTTTATTTTCTGTCCTTTGATATAAATCCCTTGTGAAGTTCTCCCTTCTGGTAGACTCTGCTGAAATATTACTTCTCAATGTCAATATTTAGTTTCATTTTAAAACAACTGGGCAGAGACTTGACAACGGTGTGCCCTTTATGTGCTTTGTGCATATCCTTCACAGCAATACTTTTGTAAATGGACTTCAACCCCTTGTGCAGTTGTACTACAAAACAGTCACTCAAATTAAACAACAAATAAATAATTGCTCTGGTTTATGAGACAATTGATGAAAAATTCAAGTTCAAAGAGCTTGTATATACTTTCTGTGGAAGAAAACTCAGTCAAGCTAGAAAAATGTGAAAAATAAGTATGTTTATTATTTGTCAATTTGTGTGAAACTTTAGGAGAGCTTAAATGAGCTGTCATTTATCTACAACTTATCTGCAATTCTCCAGTGCAGAATCAAAGTCTCACAAGAAATTCTTGAATCCAGGAAAGCCACTTCCACATTCAATATCATGTTGCTTATTCCAGGTAATATCTCAACTTCACTCTATCCATTTTATACCAGAAATATATTCAAATGTCTACAGCGAACTTATATGGATTGCTAATGTTTCTCTTTGCCTATGCTGGTGTCACTCTAAATCTGGACTTTCATTCATGCTATATGAAAATCAAAAAGACTTTTTTTCCAAGAGCACTGACTCTTTTCAGATAATAACTGAATAGTTACTGGTTTTATGAATATTTTGTCAATGAATAAACTATTAACATTCTACACAGAGATGTTTAAATCATTTCAAATGTCTTCCATGCGTTCAAGCTGATTTATCTGCTTTTTTTTCAAGCTTTTATAGGGTGGTGAGGCATCACATTTAATCTAACAAGAATTGATTTCCATCAAAAAATAAATGTACTTTTAATTAATGCAGTTACTTTGGAAAAGGCAATACAAAGACTTTGAAATCAGTCAGATATTTTCATGCTTTGAGTTTTTAACTCAGAAAGAAGTAATACAGTTCCAACTGATTATCTTGCTCAGTTTTTTTAGTACAAAGTACAAATTTGTAGATGGATTATGAAGAATAGACATTAATGCCTTTTAAGGCAGAAGACCTACCTTTTTATCGCTCAGTCCTGTCACTTGGTCAACAAACTCCTCTTGAATCATAAATGCAGCTAAGTTGGCAGTATAACTAGCCAGGAAAATGACAGCAAAGAAGGCCCAAACTGACACCATAATTTTACTGGTTGTCCCTTTGGGGTTTTGCACAGGCACGGAGTTGTTGAATACCAAGCCCCAGAGTAACCATACTGCCTTTCCAATGGTGAAGGATGGTCCATGGGGATCTATAATTGCAAAGAGTAATAGTTTTAGTTGCAATTATATTATGTTGTGGTAAGATACCCTGCATAACAAAATGTACTAATCAAGACATGGTTAAAATATTTAAATACATATTTATAGTCCTCCCAATGGAATCACAGGATTTATCATCGGTATTCTACATTGTAATTACACATATGTCTATAAATGTTAGAAAAATATTTGACCACTTTTCTATCCTCATATCCAGCTTTAGATTAGTACAATGCAGACACCTCCAATAATTTAATTATTATTAAACAAATAAAGCCCAAAGTGGGTATACTCAGTGCATGTCATCATTTCAGTAGAAATGTATTTTAGAGCAATTTTCACAATACAATTAAGCACTTCTTAGATTATCCTCTTTTTGCTGCATTGCTAAGTTAGACTGCAGTAAAATGAATGTAATGGAGCCAGCCATTGGTTTGTAAAACTACCTTATAGGGCCATTTAAAATTGAGCTGTTTAACAGATGTATTTTCTGAGCAGCAATGGTAAGGAAAGTATATGGGAAGAAAACAGTCTAAAGTTCTTTTTATGTTACTTAAGAGTGTAGTGCCATTGAGCTTCTGCTTGATGAAAACAGGTAGGAAAGGGAGTAATATACTTAAAGACTCCCATTGATTTTAAGCTCTCCATATTTCAAATGAATGGCAACTGGATTTGTGGCAAGCCTCTAGGAGCTGCTAGAATGGTGCAGTGCTACACTATGAATTTCTGGCCACTATATTTAATTCTGGCAGATGAGGTGACAAAGAACAACCCTGCCTGCAGATCCCCAGTATCTCTACAAACCTTTAATTTCCCCTTCCTAAACATAGTGTTTATTTTGGACATAGGTTACAAACGTACCATCTTATCGAAACTATAACATCATCTGAATATTACAGCAAACTCCTTGTTCAAGAAGCAAACCAATCACAAACTGGAAGAAGCCATTGGCTAGTCACAGTCTCTAGGATTACATTCACCAAGCTGGGAGATTACTTGCTATAAAGTGAGGTGACAATGATTTAGAAATTAAAAACAGCTCACATTCTGAACTGAAAGTGAAGGGGAGGATGAGGCTACCACAGTACATGAAATCCTCATTCTCAGGCCAGTGCTGATATTATACAACTTCATCAAGAAAATCATGTTCTGTATCTCATTTATTTTGCCAGTATATTTTGAAAACTAACTTTCTCTAGCCAAGGATGCATCACAGTAAGAAATTATGCTCTCTTGCCACTGGCTCATTTCAAGGCTGAGTTCACAAGAGAACTATACCTTTTTATAGGGACTATATAAAACTATATACAAGCTAACAGCTACTTTTCCAGCTTGCGCAACAAATTACATCATTTTAGATCATTATCTCTGAACTAGCTATGAATTCATAAGTCAGGAGTCCATAGAGTTTATTCCAAGTTCTTTTAAGCTGACAGTTCAGCTGTTACAGTATACTAACCAAACATTGCCTGAATATAACTGCTTTTAATAACACTGTTCCGTGTCTTTATTGCAATGAATTAGAATGTAACCCCACCACAAAATCACATTTTAAATGAAAAGCTTCACGACTGCTTTTACTGCTTTATGTTATGTTTATTTTAAAAGATGGAGGGCAACGGATGGTAAATACATGAATACTCTTCTGATGGCTCTAGGGTTGTGTAAAATGCAAAGCTTACCTCTCCCTTGTGCTAAATTCCTGTTATATCCTACAGGACTGAAGTACTCAAATATAAATACAGCCATGGCAGACACAATGAGAAGCATCACAAACATCATCACCCAGACAGAAGCACTAAAAGGCTCTGCAGCAAAAGAGACAAGAGAAACAGAAACAGTTCATTAAACCAGTCACATCACAAGAATTCCAATGTCTTAGGGCTAGGCAAGCCCACTGGCTTTCTTTAAATTAGCTGTTTCAACCAAAATGCTAGCAGATAAACAAGCAGCAATATAAAAGGAACTGCTATTGCTCACGTATTCTAAATCACAAATGTAAGTTGCAACTCAAATGCAAAATCTGTGTATTTCACTTTTCAACAAAGCCTTCACTGACACAGAGGCAAATTCTTGGCTTGACTCGCTGCTCATCCCGTGTACAACTCATTTCTGTTTATCCTATGGTGTATGCTTTTATCGACAGAATGGTCCCATCATTATGACCGTATTGCTGCAGAGCAAGAGCAATTAAGCGTACACATAAGACGTTTGGCGTTTCAGAGAAGTACACCTCTCTCATTTTCTATCCAACAGAAAGCAGTAGGGAAAAGAGCCAAATGTTTCCATCCAAAGCAAATTGTATGTTTCTTTTTTTTTTTTTTCTTCTGTTCACCTTTATCTACCTCTAATGAAGATGTTGTTTCCACCGATAGCAAACCCATCCTTTAGCAAGTCTCGCTCTCATCTGGGAGCAAATTTCTGAAATCAAAAGCTTTCTATGGAAAACTGAACATCAGAAAAAGTGAAAAAACTAACAAATATGATTAAGTTAAAGTAGTTTAGAACAGAAAACTAAAAGCAGTTTCAAGTACAGAATAAGCACCAACTATCTGAAGGGACTGTTACTGCCATGTGATAACACAGTGTTCTTAAATATCATCAATAACACCTTTGCTTAATCAAAAATTCTCTGTCATTTAAGAAGTTCCTGTTTTAGTCAATATAGTATAATAATGCAGGCAGTAAAGGTTTTCTAAGTCAAAGTAATCTCTTTATTCGGTCAATTTATTTGGGGGTATATATGCTAATTTTAGTAGATACTGGAAGTGTGAATGAGCTCTGAAGTGTGAGAAAGAAATCTTCAGACTAGAACAGAACCAAGAAGCACAGGATGTGACAACAAGAGAATCTGCACCCATGCTTTGCTTTTTTTGGAAGCTCAAGGCGTTCTTCCATCCAAACTTCTTCATTCAATGAATTTAACATTTGAAAATGTTTTGGATGTGAACTAACAAGACAAAACAGGGAATTATTAAACCATACTGTTCTCTTTCCAATTTTAAGAAATGTATTTCATTTATTATATTGTAAATACAGATTATGAAATTCTTTCAATTATTACAGAAATTTGTTTGGAAGAGAATACCGAGCAAAATAACAATGTTTAAAAGGACTAGAGCAATCCTTTCAGAAACAAATAGGTAGACCCAAATACATTTACTAAGAAATATTCTATGAGTTCATGTATTAATTGGAATTAATTGGAATTCACATGAAATTATCATTCAATATTGACATCATCTTCAAAGAAGTAAGCAAGCCTAATGAAACTCTTATCAAAAGCAACACTGTGGAAACACCAATGGTAATTTGTCAAAATTTAACTAAGGCAAAGAGCAAAGCAAGTTGATTTGAAACAGCAAGCTATAAACAACAGTTTAGGCAGAATGCTCTTTAATAATTTAAGCAGATTGGTAATGAGACGGAGGATTAAAAGAAGCAACAGCAAAATAAAAAGCTATTTATAATAACAAGTAGTAAGTTTGAACAAGTACAAAATCAATTGAATAATAAAGTTGATCTTCCTGTGACATTACAGATCGAATTATGCATTCAGCATTTTCATTTGATTCTCAAAGGCAGAAAGAACATCCCCCAGTAAGAATCTAGTTTCATGTTTCAATAGAGTGAAAAAAACAAAACAGTAGTATATGTCTTGTTAGTGTACAGTTCAGAAGATTGGCTATGGAGAACACTGAGCAGTAAAAAGGTTGGATTACTCCACTAACTTCAAGTTTTACCCTCACACACCAAAAAAGAAAAGAAATACACACACAATACATTAAAAAAAAAAAAACAAAAAAAAACCAGATTCACAGATTTCCTGTTCTACCAGTTTTTCCAAAATGGACACATGGCCTCAACTATAATAAACTCACTCTCTTAAACATATAGAAATCTGGATTTAGGTTTTTCCTTACTTTGCCTGAATAAAATTTGAATAACATCTCTACAGGAAGTAGTATATATTAACTGTAGAAATAAATGAAGATGTTTTAACATTGATAAAATTCTTATATGCAGGGAACACCCACATCAGAAATAACAGATATGAGGAAATCTGTCAGAACACAGTAGCAGTATGGCTTTCAGAAGTCAGACACATCTGTTACCAGTTTAGCTGTCAGATCTATTCCAGTCATAACAAAGTCTTCTCTTTTACGCTTTTCTACAAGGGGTTTTAAAATAATTTCATAAATATGACTGTTAAAAAAAAAACCACCAACAATTTATTATGGGCTAAACAAGAATATGCTAGTGTGTAATGCAGCTTTTCTTAAGGAAATCATTGTCATTTGGTTTCCCATTATTGCATCTGAATCCAGCAGCATTCATGTGCCAATAGTCACATTAATCAAGTTTGTCAATACCATGCAAACTTCTTAACACATAATTCAAAAATTGATGGGGTGAAACCTACCCCACTCTACAGAAATGCAATTAAATGATCTGGAGGGGTTAGAGAATCATACCTAGAAAAGCAGATGGTGAAACTGTGCCATTGCTCCGTGACACCATGACACTGATCCCAGTCTCAACAAATGGCACTGAAAAGTCAACCACTTCAGAGCGCTCTTCGTTAATAGTGAGAGACCCCACAGCCATAACTGCACGATGATAAACCACCTGATCCACAAAGAGAAGATACCACCAACATTACTCAGTAGAGAATACCTTGTTTCCCCAAATGAATTAAAAACAAACGTTGCTAAGTTCTCACTTAAGAGCTCTTTTACCTAACAGAACTTACTTCACCAATCATTCCATTCCACACATTATTGACTTTTTTGCCATGCTTCCCATTAGTCACCAAGTACAGGTCATATGTGAATTTGACAGTTTTAGACAACTTCTTCAAGATATCAATGCAGAATCCTTTGCAGCACTTCTTTACATTAGTTCCCTCATTAGTTGAGTTGCTGTCAAAAAGAGAGACACATAAAATTTTCTTCTGGGAGAAAAAGAACCACCAGAAAAGCAAGATTCAGCACACTGTAAAACAACACTTTTTCCTATTTCTGAGTGACCATGTTTTTCTGAAGTATTGGATAAATAAACAATAGAATGCTTTATACAGTGGTTGCAGCTCATCCTAATCACACTGGAGTGGCTTGACAAGAGCTAAGAAGATATTGACATGCTTCCTGCTGCAGTGTCTGACCTGCTGGACTTCATCACAGACCCCACTTAGGGATGTCTCCTCAATTTAGGTTAAGTCTTTTTTTTACTCTCAAGACACATAAGATCACATGGAATTTAGTAATTACAGAACTGCCCATCTTGTAAGCTGAATAAAGGTGCAGCAGTTTTCAGTACTGAAAGTGGATGCTGCACATTTTGCTGCAGTTTAAGAAAGTGACTTTCAGCTACCTTGGGATGCCAAGACCACTGAGGAAGGTCAGACAAGCCTTACCAACAGGTAAACTAGAGTCTCAAACTGAGATCAGCCATGTAGATCTTAGATAAGGTTTTTCCTTCTATTTTTTCTAAAAAGCTCTATGGCCTCTAGCACTTTTCAGTCTGAGTTTCCTCAGAGATCAAGGCAATACTTTACTGGCTTTGAAGAAATTCAGATGTTTTATGTAATATTATTATTACATATGTAATTGTAATTATGTAAATAAAATTATGTAAATAAAAATATTTTTCTGGACCTCAGGAACCACTGAGCAATTTCTAGAAATCTTCAAAATATTGACTAGATCTCCTCGCACCTATTCAATGAAAAAGTGTTATTATATTAATTCCAGAAATACAAAGACTGAAGCACAGATGGGGTGAAGAAGCACTGGTAATTACTCAGTGACAGATGTTTCACCAATTTTTAAGAATTGCTCCAAAATTGGAGCAATGAAAGCAGAGGACTTTTCTCTGTCATAGCAGTATTTTATTCCTGAGTAGTTTCTCCTGTACCAAACTTAAGCATAAAGATGCTGTTTTCAATAAAAGGAATTTCTGAGCTGTAAACTAATTAAAGTTATTCAAGTGGGCACATTTCAATATGACAGGAAACAATTCAAACAGGACTCATTAAATCAGTCCAATTTTAGATACGCTCTCTTCTTTCATGAGACTGAGAAGGGCTAGTTCCAGTTCAATTCAAATTTGCTGTAAACTGATTATCTTGTAATTAATTCAATGTTACTTACAAGCTTATAACTAGAACCTTCCAGCTTATTAAAAAGGAAGCACACTGTATGTGAAAGGGAGAAAGAGGAAGAGAAATATGGAATGAAAAGCAAGAGAAAAAATAGCAAATTATAAAAAAATATATACAACAAAAGAAATAAGGGAAAATAAATAAAGAAAATGGGGGTGCATCTTTTGCACTTAAAAAAAATGGAATGATTTACTTACTTAATTTTGACAAATTTACGACATGGCACAGTGTTTTTTTGGCAGCTTTCCATCAAAGGATCCACATCTTCAACGATGACAAAGGGAGCCTCCTCCAGGGTGACAATACTCAGGTGGTTATCATCTGGGTCACTGTCTGCAAAAGAACTGTACCTTGGCCAGACAGAGTACTTCAGGCTCAGTGAGTTGTTCTCCCATTTCCCCACCTGAAAAACCCAAGATACACAGGCTGCTCACATCTGCCTCTTGTTTTTCACAAATGAGTTCTCATATTAAGTGCACTGGGATATAGGTACAGGAAATGACATTGCAAAGACACTTGTCTTAGTTTTTTTTTTTTATCAAAACCACTTTAGAAATCTTCAGCAGTTGCATAAAGTGAGAAACTACATTGTGGTAATGACAAATAAGATAATGCTATTTCAAGAGAGAAAAGCTTTACAAAGCCTTGATAATACCAGCTAATGGTAGCTATCACTTGGCTACAGGCGTACAGAAATATGGCAGGTATCATATGCATTTGAACCAGAACAGCAAACATGCCTGTAATCAATCTGTTAAGTAGTAAGAAAACAGGCATCAAAAATAAAAAGAAAACTAATGGCTTTGCCGGGCCGATGACCAAAGAATCACAACAGTTCTATGTCTTCTCTACAGAAATTACTTCATGTGTTAGAGGAGGCTTCACATTTGAGAAGGCATTGCTAAAGCATTTTGCCGAGTCCTGGGGTTTCTGAGCTGGGCCAAACTAAGCAGAACAGAAGCATAATCGACATGACATGTTTCTTAGTAGAAATAATACATTCTGCCTTAATTACTGCCAAATAATTCAAAAAGTTTAGCAACTAATCAAACAAGCCTTTGCTGTTAGAGTAAATATGTGGTTTTAGGACTACTGGGGAGCATGTCCAGTTTTACTTTTAAATTATATATTTATTATTATAAATTATCTTATTTACTATTATAAATTACCCAGCCCTAATGAACCTGTATTTTTTTCCACTGCTAGAACACCAGCAGTGGGCATATGATTAAAAAATGATTTAAGTGTTTTGAAAGCTCTAGCATTTTTAACTACTTTGTATCTGTAAATCTAATTGCAGTTTACCAGAGCAGTAATGACAGATTATATAAATGAGCTACCAGTCCACATAATTTATAAACCAATACATTTTAATAATCCTTCAGTTACTTAAGCTAAACAAATTACAAATAATCATGAGACTAGTGAAATACTTGTTTTGCAAGGAAAATAGTGGGAATTAACGATGCTCAGATGCTAAAAAAAAAAGACTGTATGAAATTTTTTCTTCCCTTTGGTCTTCTAAAGACTTTAAAATGAATTGCAAAAGTGCCCAAAGAACATAATTTGTATCTCTTCCCATTTAGAGAAGTAGACAAATATGTGCCCTTTGCAGTTTCCTTTCTGTCCTGTTTCTAACGCAAGATATTTTGCTGAACTTTAAAGTAAGAGGTGGAAATGCCAAATCTTTATACACTTAAATTAGGAAATTCAAAATATCCCAAGAGAATGAGGAATTCTAAACCAGCAGGAACCAGGCACGGAAATTATATTACTTACAGTTCTAGTAAGTAATTTAATCAGAACACAATAGATGTAGATGTAGCCTTTGAGAAAAACAATTCTATGCACAGGAAAACAAATGTACTTAACTCTACAAGACAGTTATATTGCAAAAAACTGTTTGATTGCCAAGTTCTGGTACATAATCTCATTCACAGCAGTGTCTGCGCTGCTTTATGTCAGCTTAGACAGCATCATTGATGGCTACACCGTAAGTACGCCAGGAGGCTCCAGCCAGAGCCTTCCACCAAACAAATACACTGAGTACAACAGTGGAAAATGTGCCTGCCTATTCCAAACAGCAGTAAGAAAAGTAAGGTGACTGGGGCTCAATTGCCATTGGGTGTCCAGGAACATGGCAAGAGCAGTGCATGCTGTTCTGCATGTCCTGGTAAAGGCTCTGGAAGCACCTCCAGTGTGCATCACTGTCACACAGACCAAAGGAACACAAACAGCCCTCTGTGATATGCACTTATCTGATCTTATCAAAAATACAGTGGCTGCTTTGTTGTTAAAACAGCAATCATGACATATTTCAATACTTTACTTAAAACAATTGCCCTTTTATTGTTCTGAGGAGGATGCAATCAGTGATGTTTTTAAGGAGCTGAACATGGGGAAACGCTCATTTTTTAGGTAGCTGCATATCTAAAGAAATGTTATATTGATTAAGTCTCTAAAATCCAAACATCTGCTTTTTCCACAGATCTACCTCCATAGTCTCTTATTATATGAGTGGCAAAAAGTAATTAAGACCTTCCCTCAGGCCTCAGGAGCATCACCACTTCTCTCTGAAGAATTCTGCTGCTGCATTGCCAGCACACTGAATTCACTTGGGCTTCAAAGAGGCATTGCAGGTCATCCCACAGTGCAGTGAGGGACACACAGAGTCAGAAAGCACAGTGGCAAAAAAGAACAGGATGAAGATTTCAATGTAATGAACAATGGCAGAATATTCCTGAGAAGCCTTGCTGATGGGAAAATGGCAAATAAGAAAGAGTAATTAGTAATGCCTCTATGTCACTCCTTTTGTTTGGGTAGTATTTGTGTTGGATTTGCTTGTCCTGATTTAAATAGTTAGAATGAACATTGGATGTGCTCTGTCACTGATGCTGGACTCACAGGTGAACAGCTTTCATCTTTATTTGGTAATGGTGCTGAAGAACACATGTTGCACTTCTTTCTACCATTCAGCTACAGTTCTGAATGATCAAAACACTTTTTTTCTTTATTTATTTTAAATGCAGGGTAAGAACTTAGCTTTCTGCAATTAAAGCACGTGGTCAAAATACATTAAGGTTTTTATAGTTACATTAGAAGCCTTCCAGCCTCAACAGAACTAATAGTAGTACTGCTAATAAGAATCTGAATGGTATTAATTATTTACACAGTGTTTTGTAACCTCATATATTATTCAGTTCTTTCAACATCCTTGTGCAATTGATGGTATCAATTTTTAAAAGGTGAAGAGTTGAAATGACAGAGAAAAGCTGCAGACTAAGTAAAACTGAAACATTAATATGTTCCTACTGAAATTCAGAGAATTTATGAAATTGAATCCATATTTTGCTGTCTTGCAAGATCAGCATTTGTGTCACTTACGTAAAATTCAGATCTAGGACTATATCCAATCAGTATCTCTTTTGAATGCATGAAAAAGTTTCACATGCTTAGATGGGAAAAACTGGTCATAACACATTTCCATTTTATTTCTGAACTTTATAAAGAGATTTGCTTGAAAATGGAAGAATTTCTGTGCAAACTCAAATGTTAAGTTCTTATTCAAAACTCTTTAATGACTTATCTGTGACAGCAAAGAAAAACAACTGAGACACCAAAGGCACGCAAGACCTGACTTCACCTCCAAAGGCAGTAGAATAAGTTCATCTATAAGATATAAAAACTAAAATATGAAAAGTTCAGCTGCTATTTTCAGTGGGAGGCAAGAACTACATTTGAATAAACCATGTTACGGTGAAATAGCTGACCAACCTGGACAGCTCCAGCATTTGCCTCCAGTGCCTTGCAGCACACTTTTTGCAGAACATGCTACTTTGAGATCATCATAGCTACTGATGAAATGAACTGAAAATGTCATCCTCTGACCAAGTTCAAGTCTCTAGATTGGAGGCTCAAGGGGTTCCTTTTTCAACTAGTATGCTTACCTTGTGATACTGATATCCCTTATACAAATATTCATGAAACAGCCAAGAAATCACTGCAATGCAGGCTATGGTAAACCATTAATCATCTGAAGGTAAAACTGACACCATTGGTAAAACTGATACCATTGTTACACACCAATCAAGTGTAACCTGAGGTTACAAGTTTTTCTCTGAAGATGTTAATGTTATCAAATCGTGACTCATACAGTTTATCATCAAAGAATTCAGAATAAAATCTCATTGATTGGAATTAGACAACAAAGCAGGAGGAAACAACTGGAAAAAAAAAAGGGCAGGTGATTGTGACAGTATAAAGGCTCAATATCTACATTGTTTCTTGTTAGCTACCACATAATGTAAAAGGTACAGAAAAGCTGAATTGCTTACTAGTTACTTTATTTTTTAAAAGCAAATGTCAGCAGAATACACATTCTCATGTCAAGAAGAAGAAGCAAGAAGTGGAATGTAGTTATTGGTTGCTCAAATCTGTTAAATCTTTTGGTTCAAACAGCTGTTATGTAAAGGAATACAGTGCACAACACAATGAAAGGAAATCTGCATGTTTTGAAGCACTGTTGACAATATACCACAGAATCATAGAATGGCTTGGGTTAGAAGGGACACCAAGAAGTTCCAACCCCCCTGCCACAGGCAGGGCTGACAACCTCCAGATCTGGTACTAGACCATATACCCATAAACCCTACCTGTATTCTAACAGAAAATGATTTATATGCCCAAGCCACTCTCTGATCAGTGCTGGCAGCCACAGCCCCAGAAGCCTTTACACCAAACCAGCAAATGAACTTATGTGTAGACTGGACAAAGTTGTGACTGGATAATCCTGGCTGGACTTGCTGCATGAAGAATTTGGAAATAAATGTTCTTTCTCATGTTTCACAAAACAGGAATCTAAAGGAGTAAGCAGTAAATCCATGTATTCATAACAGATATCTGACATAATTTGCATAGCTAAGCAAAGACTGGGAGATATAAAATAAATAAATAAATAAATGTAGTAAAGTCACAGATAACATTGAAACACAGTTTCTACTGTGGAAATCCTTCTACTACAATGATGAATCTTATTCTTTATGTCTGCGGCCTAGAAATCCCAACTTCTACATAACCAATCTCAAGTGAACTCTGCCATTCAGAAGTCTTCACTTATCTCACAGTCTTCAAGCCATCACTGCTTGGAAAAAAGTTAGCCAGAGGCAAGAGGTCAGTGAGAGTAAAAACACTACAAAGGCCAGGCTGCCAAAACTCTATGTCGATAAGTTATGAGATGGGTAGAAGAGAATTTTCCTGAAGATAATTTTTTCTCCTCCTTTTCCTGAAAGAATTTTTTTCCACTTAAAGAAAGAAAAAAGTGAAAGAAATATGAATTGAATTTGAATTGAAAGTAATTTGGATTTGAAAGAAAGTTGAAGCAAATTTGAAAGAATTATTCCTCTG